CCCTTTCAAGCCTTGAGGTCTTGTCATCATGACAGTGCTGTGCTGAAAGAACTTTTGATATTGATTCAGCTGCGATTCCTTTAATTTAGTAACTCCCAAAAGCTGAGCTACTCTTGCCAATCCCTGAGCCCCACTCCCATTCAGAGGCTATAATTTGGGTTGTGATGGAACTTGATAGTAGAGAAATGGGTGAGCAGGAAGTGGAACCAGCTCTGAGGCCTACAGCCAGGTGTTCTCAGGTGAGAGCTAATCGCCTGCGGCTAATGCAGGGAAATCCAGTCACCTGACCACCTGCATGTCAAATTCTCTGACTCTTCCCTAAGTTTAGAAGTCTCAGGAAAGTTTTTGTTATTTTTTTTTTCAAATGTGCATCGCTTGCAGCATTTTTTTTTTTTTAATTTGTACATACAGAACTGGGGTACAGGCCAGAGGCTCAAGGGCGGTGAGAGGCTTCACCAGAGACAGAGTGGGGAGCAGAACAGGCAGCTCTACGAAGTACACTGCTGAGGGGAGCAGCGGGCGGGTCAGGAGAGGTCTGCCACGCCATGTGGTCACCTCCGGGGCAGGCGGGAATCGAACTCATGTGGAAGTGGCTTTAGCTTCTCAGTGCTGTGCTTTAACCCGCTACAACACCAGGGAGAGCCTCGGGAGAGTATTTTTAAAGACAGGATGATTCCCCCACTCTAGGCCTCGGACATACAAGACATTTCAGTTTAACTTGCAGTGAAATGCTACCTCAACTTTACCTGTGCAAGATCCTTTCTGAATAACATTCTGGGGAGACTCATGACACCCTTGGAGGTTAATCTGGCATTAACATAGTTCAACATAGAAATTGAACATATATTTTAAAAAGCCACTTAAATTGATGGTGGATAAAATCAAAATGGAAAGTGTCCCATAAGGAGAATAGCCAGATGTCCTGGCTTTTCTGGAAGAGTGAGGATTTGCACTGTTGCCTCAGTGCAAATCCTTCCCTTCGCTCTAGGAGGAATCTTGCTTAAGCATCTCTGTTCATCAAGGTGAAAGTCAAGGCAGAGTAGGGTCAGAATATGACAGCAAAGCTTGCTGTGCTTTAGTCATTTGTGTGGAGTTCTGTTAGTATCAGTGTTTTTCCTGTGCATGTCAGAACTGCTCAAAATAGCCATACAAGTTATGTATCAAAATACTGTCAGTAGAAACCCTGTGTAGCTAGCAACACAAACAGTAACAGTCATGCAGGGTTCGGCCATGACCTGCCATGGCTCTCCCCCTCTGCACACCGAAGGCAGCTGACAGTGTGGGCAGGGGATGCTCCCCTTCTAGGCCCATCATTCAGATTCTTCCTCATGGCACCCAGAGAGTGGGGATAGAAACATTAAGAGAGCCTGTGCTCCAGGAATGCTGATCGGGTCAAGTCCTCTGCCAGCCAGAGCACACCGCCCAGTGCTGGAGGCTTGTGACACTTTTGGTACCAGAGGTGGCAGCTGAGGCAGCAAGAGCCTGAGGAACTTGCCCAAGGCTGTGTACCTGGTCAGAGGTGGGACTGGATTTGAGCTGTCCAGCTTCAAGGCCACCACAGAACAGTGCCCTTGTCCCAGGGGGTAACTGAACACACGGGAGTGCCCTGTTCCCTCCCCGTGGGCACAGCCCTGGCAACCAACATGCAGATCTTGCCTGTACTGTTACAGCAGCCCCTAAAGTCTCCCTGGGTAGACCTCACAGACCTGGCGCTTCATGCCACCCTCTGCCAGAGCTCAGGGAGACGCTCAGACCTCTGTTCTAATACCGACAGCTGGCTTATACCCAGTCTATTTCTCCACGTCTTTAGATGAGGACTACAGGGCTCTAGCAGGCATTCAAGTCACCCCAATTGGAGCAGTCTGAACAGCTCTCATCATTATGTATAACAAACCCCTTCTCTGTCCAGCACCCCGTGCTGCTGCCATGACCCAGCCCACTCCCCAGGCCTGGAAGCTTCTGCTTGCCAGCTTCTCTTGCTGGAGGTCACCTTCATTCCCAATGCCATGGCCAGCCTCCCTATGACCTCCTCTTGAAGTCTTCCACTCTGACCCTTCTCTGATCCCAGGCACTTTCTGACTTGTTTGCCCACTATAGGGCCATGATGGAAATTCAAGCTCTTTACAGGCCTTCCACGCTGAGGCAGCAAGTGCCATTGTGCATGGCAGGGACCTTGACTTGCCGATAGTGTTTGTGGGTTGAATGGATAAATAAATGAATTCTTTTCTATGCTTCCCCCACTTCAAAAATGCTTGCTTTGGATGTTCCCAAAGTTATTTATATGTATCACACTCAAAGTGAACTACTTGCTAATAACCACGGAAGCTAGAAATACATGATTAATCTTATTAAATGCTAGCTTCTTTTGTTGTAAAGCATATAGATGTAAAAGGGGAAATAGGGAGCAGATCAGGAAAGATGAGGAAACAAACTTTCTAAAATAAGAATGGGGAAAACTCCAAAAATACACACAATAGGCAAAACAACAAGAAGGACATTTTCGGGAGAGGGAGAGGCCTGGCAGAGTGGGCAGCAGAAGGAAGGAATTGGGGAGAACAAAACAGCTCTCAGGACCCTCCCTTTGGGTTTCAAAAGGGCCTATCTGTAGGGGGTCATATCAGAGTCTCCCCCAGGAATAAAAGAAAAGGCCCCTGTACCCCTCTTGCCACCCAAATCTAAAGTTCCCTTTGACACCCCACCCCCAGACACCTCCTTGTAAAGATGGACCCTTCTTTAGAGGAAATGATGAGAATATGATCAGAGGAAAGGACAGACCTATTTGAGGAGTGCTCAGAAAGGGCTGAAGGGCTGCAGGACAAGTCATTTTTCTTTAAAATAATTTTTAAAAACATTTATTTATTTATGCATACAGAGTTGGGGTACAAGCCAGAGGTGCAGGGGCGGTGAGGGGATTCACCAGAGACAGAGTAGGGAGCAGAACAGGCAGATCAACAAAGTACATTAACGAGGGGAACAGTGGGTAGGTCAAGAGAGGTCTGCGGTGCCATGTGGGTCATCTCCAGGGCTGGAGATTAAACTCGTACTGAGGCGGCTGCGACCAGCTTGCAGTGCTGTGTCCTTACTCATTGCACCACCATTGCGGGCCTGAAACAAGTCTTTTAAATGAAGCCAATTGATGGTGCACAAATGAATTGGTGGTGGGAATTCTGTGGTGACTACACCTGAGAAAAGGAAGCAAACACTACAAAAATGAAAAATAATGTAAAAATAGATATAAATAGGCCCTCCCTGGTGGCGCAGCGGGTTAAAGCAGAGCACTGAGAATCTGAAGCCACTTCCACATGAGTTCGATTCCCGCCTGCCCCGGAGGTGACCACATGGCGTGGCAGACCTCTCCTGACCCGCCCG